ATCTTCCAGTTTTTTTTTAGAATTCATCCAGTTTTATCCAGTTTTCCATAATTAGTTGCAAAATATGTTGAAGTATGATTACCAGTACAGCATGACTCAGATGCCTACACTTTAAGCTTTTATATTGGAATTGAAATCTGGAAATGCAGTATTTCATTTAAATGCAATATTGCAAGAGAATTGCAATTGCTCGCTTCACGGTATCGAGACGGGTGGGCTGTGTCACAGCATCGACACGCATTTGGCAGGTTCGGTATTATGACAGTTAAAATAACTTTATGTCAAAGTTACCCTAACTGATGTTGAGAGCTTGGAACCGTCATTATTAATTATTTATCTCTTATCTACCAATATTATTTGAAAGTATTTGGGCTTCTTATGCCTTTGTCATCTTTTCTTGTGAATTTATTTAATGAAATTGAAGTAACATTTTAACTAGTTCTTATGCAGGGTATCTACGTATGCTAATTCCAAGGGCATCACGAAATAAATTTCTAGATAATTTAAAGGAAACTTCCAAGGAAAATTGCAGAAGAACTTAGAGAAGAAGTCCAAGATAATTTTGAAAAAAAAATCCAGATAATTCAAAACCAAATTTCAAGATAATTCAGAAGTGAATTGTTTGGGAATTCAAATGAGAATTAAAGCTAATTTTGAGTAGAATTTTAGCAGGAATCTTCAGTGAATTCCTAGAAAAGCTGTAAAATGTGTAGACTGTCATAAATAATTTTTTTTATGGACTCTCAGAGTGCTCAATCTCAATCTTATTTTAAGAGAATTCTGAAATAAACGCTGAGAAAAAGATGCAAAAAGAAATGTTTGAAAATATTACAATAAAATCCTGAAAAGTTTTTTTTTGCGCTTCAGTGATGTTGGAATATAGACACATTTTGAAGAATTCAAACACATCGGGAACATCGGGAAAAAACCGGTTCCATCGGAATCCACTGGTCACCCTCATGGATAGAACATTTTAAAGTTGAAAAATCCCAGAATTAGAAGAATTAAGTCTCAGCCAATTGATATATTTCAAGCTCGCAACCTTAAATTTCAAAGTTCGACGTTTCAAATATTTTTGCTAGTTTTGGAACTTGAAAACTTCTTACGTTCCCTAATCTGCTCTCTAATCCCCCTCCATGTCCGGAATATTTAATTTTAAATAAAAAAAAACCTGAACCATGAAGATTTGGATTCAAGATCATATAATTTTCTAAGCATGAAATCTTTAAAAATCTTTAGCTTCAGGATTTAAATTTTTTCTCAAACCTTGAATCTTGACCTTTTTCTGTGTTCAATTGTGGAAAAATTGAATTCTTTTATAATTTCCTCCACAATACACTTGAAAATATTCTGCAGAACACTCTCTGAATTCACTCTGAAATGCTTACCTGAAAAAATCACTTGAAGTTCTCCTTAGTATTTATTCTCTTGAAATATTTATTTTTAGTCCTGCTCATAATTTCCATTCATATTTTAAAGAAAATCCTCATAATTTCCTTGGAAAGTTCTTTTATTCTAAAAATTATCACCGGAATATTTTTGTAATAATCATCAGAATTCCTTAGAAATGATCCTCAAGATGTTGTTAGAGTTATCCTCGGAATTCAGATTTTTTGTTTTTGAATTTTGGTTCGAATTACCTTAAAAATTTCCTCTAAACTCCTAAGCAGTATTAATTTTGTTAAAAATGAAAATCTCAAATTATATTTATTGCTTGGTAATTCGTTTTGATTCATGATGATTTTAAAGTTAATTTTCAGTTCAAATAATGTTTCAGAAAAGCTATGTCACTTTTATTCATTTGAATCTCATAATGTGTTTTATTATGTTCACTAAATAGTCAGAATTTATACTAGCAAGAACATAATAAATTGTTATTTTTTTTTCAAAATGGTGCACACTCCCTTAGCTCAGTCGGTAGAGGCGCAGCTACAAAGCAAGTCTATGCTGGAGGAAGCTGGCTTCGATTCCCGTTCGATCTATGCATTTTTTGGGATGGAAGATTTCTCGACTTCCTTGGGCATCGGATTGTACAGGCATAGAAAGCTCTCGATTAAAATGTTGAAGCGCTTCAAAACACTAAGTTGAGAGCAAGCAAATAACTAATATGCTATAAGCAGTAAGCCACTAATACCATGTAGTAGTAATGCAAATGGTATTTACAAGCAATGAAAACAGTTTTTTATCTGTCGCGGATTAGTATTTGAAGTCGCGGATTTCTTTTGAGGAATCACGGATTTCGCGGATCAAATTTTAAAGATCTTGTAACAGCCCTGTAGTTGTGTATGGAGACTCCGTACACAACTATAGGAACCTAACGCTTCTAACGTTCCGCAACTATAGGAGCGTTTACCCTAACACCATCTCATACTTATCTCTACATTGATTCAATGATGTACGGAGCGCTCATTCCGAGTGCTCGGTAGACCAGCAAAACACCTGGAAATCCATCATTCGACCCGGGTGGTGAAGTATTTCAAGGAGACCCATACAACCCAGCGGCGGGCAGGCTGCGGCAGAAAACCGAAGACAGCTGACCCGGTGAAGGCCAGGAAAGTGTTGAGTTTGTTCAAGCGTCGGTCGAATCTTTCGATCCGCGGCAAGATGAGCCAGCCATACATCACGACGGGTACCATCAGCGGGTAGATCTACCGAGACGAGTGTCTCCAGCAGCGCCGTTGGTTGTTGGTTGTGCCAACAGACGTCAACCCGACGAACTCGCCGGAACTTCGCCCGATTGAGAAATTTTGAGCTATCATGAAGGCCAGATTTCGTAAAACACCTAAGGTGTTGGCAAACGAGCTGGCTTTGAAGAAACAGTGGGTAAAAGTATCAAAGAAGTCGGCCCCACCATTGCACAAAACCTTTTCAGTGATGTCAAGGGCAAGGTGCGGGCATTCGATTATGGAGCGGAGATCCAATAATGCAGTGGTGTTCAGGCCCTTTTTTTTCAATAGCTGTGTCTTTGTTCGATGGTCATGTTTTAAGTTGAATTTTGCGTATTTCCTAAACATTTCAGCCATACATTCGAAATGCAAAAAGAAATTCAAGCTGAAGTTGTTGCATCATAGAGTTCCAAGCACCAAGTGCGGCCGCATTTTGGTCATCACTGCAATAAAGCACTGAAATAGAAACCTAACCATGTTGTAGTTTATTCATAGAGGTAACTAGTAGGTAGGCTAGTCAAGTAGTGAGCCAATTTAAAATCGTTAGTTTCCACCGGTTGTTCCTGCAAAAAGATGATGCACGATGCAAGTAAATGCGGGAAATTAAAGAAGATTTTCCATAGATTATTTCGCTAGTGTGAGATTTGTTAAGCATTTAGAATTGCGATTTAGATGTGACGCCCCCTCGATATTAATGATGGAGTTCATTTTGAATTTGAATTTCTAATAACCCTATGAGCAACAGAAAATCGTGTTTCTGGTAGCCTTATTTGCTGTTTTGTTTTGATTCTGCGTTCCGTTTCACAACGTTCCATTTTCCTTTACTGCATTCCATGAGCTACATGATGGGTGAGCCATTTTTAGTTTGCACGGCGTGTTCACATTAAAAAGTGTTCAGATTAAAAACGGTCAAATTACCGGGGGTCCACGGTCTACATACTAACTCTTCATATAATTTATGGCAAGGTTTAAAATAATGAAGAGCTGGAAAGTTTTGTATGGAAATTGTGCTAATAAAATGAAAGGGTGCCTTGTTTAAATAGGTAGAACAACTCGAGTAAAGGTATGATGTGATATGAGGGGCTCGGTGGCCTTAGAGCGATCGGTTTTGCTTACTGAGCAGAACATCATGAGTCTAATCTCAGGCCCATCCATATTCAAGATTCGTCAATCGCTTTATTTGTTAATATGACTCGAGAGGGGGCGACACATCTAAACCTCAATTCTAGATGCTCGAAAATCTCACACTACTAGCGAATGAACCTTCGGAAAAACTTCTATCTTTTTTCGCATCTACTTGCATCGAGCATCATCTTTTGGCAGGAAATCGTCATCAATCTTCTTTCTATCTAGTCAACGTGTGCGCAGCTAACCACAGCAAATCAAAATCTTTCCTGCATCGGAGATAGAGTCGCCCCCATCGATATGACTACATGGTAATAACAACTCGATGATTGAAAAGGAGCTCGTTTGCCTAGTGGCATACAGGACTAAAGAATATTATTTATGGGTAATGCCATGCTGTCAATAGTAGTGAGGTTCCCTTCACAGAGCTATGTTTTGAAATCTACTAAAATAAATTTAAGATTCTCTATCGGAGTCCCTTAAAAATTTCTTAAAACAGTCTTGAAATTATCTGCAGAACATTCCAATAAATTCATGAAATTCGTCCTTGGATTGTCTTCAAATTTTAAACTTTTTAAGCATTTACTGAATCTTCCATCTATTTTTTAAAATCTCATTAGAATTCCCATGCAATTCACCTCAGAATAGTCTTAAAATTGAGCTAAGGAATTATCTTGAAGTTCTCCTGTAGAATCTTTCTTAAATTCTCCTTAAAATTATCAAGAAATTCTTCTCAAGATGCCCTTGAAATTATCCCCGGAATTTCCTTAAGACTCTTCGCAGAATTCCTTTGGAACTGTACCCTAAAAATTCGATTCCCTTGGTATTTTCCACGGATCTTGGAAATCTCTTCACAATCACCATGGACTTCTCCGCAGAGGTACTTACAACTTTTACTCTGAATCCACACAATTGACTTGCAGTTCAAGTTAAAACTCTCTTATAGCAAATTTGTTTATTATTCAGACCTGGATCGGGTATCAAGATCGGCTCTGCTTGTTTTCTGACAAACGTTCCTACCCCGATAATAAACAAATTCGCTATAAGTGTTCATCCCAAAAATCCGTGGGACATTAACTATTTTTTTAAATCTGCCGCGTATTGCTTTGGAAAAAAAATTATGTGAGATTGAACAAGGATTCTTCAAATGGCCACACGGATAATTATAAATTACGATTTCATCAAACCAGTTAATATTACATATTCGATCACTACTTCTAATCAATACAAGGCTCATCTGTCTAAGCAGTGTCGTTCTCCTGGGGCTGAGCTGAATTCAACTGTTTCTGTTCCCACTCCACCGAATGCTTCCGCTTGACGTGCTTATACATGTTCGCTCTGCAGTTTGTCGTTACTTCACAAAACTCGCAGTTATACAGCACTTCACCGGTATGGGTAGCTTGATGTTCCTGAAATATACAAACCAAATTAATCTCTAGATACCTAGGTGATACGCACATCAGCCACCACTCACCTTCAAGCCCAACGCCCGTTTGAACATTTTGCCGCAAATGTTGCACTCGTGTTTTGCCTCCTCATGCACTATGGTCAGATGACTTCTCAAGTCACTCATGGAAGCAAATTTATGCAGGCATTTGTCGCACTCGAATTCCCGCTCATTGTTGCCATGAACAACCTTCATGTGATTGCGAAGGTTCTTCCGGCCCTTCAACGACCGTTGACAGACGTGACACTTCAGTCGCTCTACCTCGATTCCCATGTGCTGTTCGTTCATGTGCTGTTGGAAGCCTTCCTTGCTTTTGAACTTCCGGCCACAGACGTCGCACACCTTGGAACGATCCTTACCGTGGTAGTTGATCTTGTGCGTCTTCAGGGACCCCGCGCTGCAGAAAAACTTGTCACACTGAGGACACGGGATATTCTTATGCTGTTCCTTGTGCAGATCCAGATCACCCTTCTCCTTAAAAGTCCGCGGACAGCGATCACACCGGTGAGGGCGATGATTTTCGCTTGAATGAGTCTTCTGCATGTGCTTGTTTAGGGTTTCTCTGTCGTCGTACTTTTTGCTGCATAGCTTGCACCGGAATGCATCCAGATTGATGTGATAATGGATGTGATCCAGGATTGAAGCTTTCTTCGAATACTTCTTGTTGCAGCAGATTATGTAAGCCCTACGGCGATTGTGCTTTTCCTGGAAATGTCTATGGAGCAGGTTGAAGGATAATGTCGGCGAGTTGCAAAGATCGCAGGTCATGGCGAATTGTTCATTGGCAAGTCGATCTTCTTCGTCCATTTCCTCTTGCGACTCCGTAGGGTGTTGTTTCGAAGTTGTTGGCTCATTTTCATCCGAATCGGAATTTTCAGATTTTAGTTTTTCCAGAAGAGGTTCCTCGTCAGCAGTTGCAAATTGAAGTACCTCATCTGAGATTTCCATTTTAAGTTCTAGTTTGTCTGCGACTGAACTTGCACATTGATCTACCTGTTTGGAGCTCTCTGTTTTGGATTCCGGAGGATCATCCACCGTCTGTTCCTGATGCTCGGAGTTGATGATCAATTCGACGGTAGGCTTATATTCCATGGTTGGTTCAGAGGTGGTTGATGTTCCGCTTAGCAGTTGTTCTTGATTCTGGCGTACTCGCTCCGAATATCGGTGGAACTCGGAGATGGTGTACGAACAGCTTTGGCACACACCAGAGCAGTATCCTTGTCTGGGTTCAACCTGAATGGGGGAAAGAGAGAAAGAAAAGAACACAGTTTCCTTAAGGATTTATCTAATATTATCATAGAGCTAACTCTGTGTAACTCAGAAAGTCCAGAAGAAACGTGTTCAACTTTTTGGCTTAACGGCGCCGGTGGTGTAGTGGTAAGCGTGATTACCTCTCACCCCAGCAGGCTTGGGTTCAATCCCAGTCGGCGCCGCCGGGATGTTCTGAGGCATAACATCTCTGATCACGCCTTCCTTCGGATGGGAAGTAAAGCCGTTGGTCCCCGGTTCATGAATTGATGGGTCGATAGGTAGGGTCCAGGTGTGGAAGCTGCCTTCCTGGCACGTCGGTAGCATTGGTGCTCAGCACGGAAAACAAGATCGACGGAAAAAACAAACCAAAGGAAAAAAAAAAAAAAAAACTTTTTGGCTCAGCTCTGGTACCATATAGGTAACTCTGAGACGCAAGTCAGTCCCATCTGTAAAAAACTGGAAATGAGAAAACGGCGTTCAAAGATTTTAAAAGTTTTCTGATTTGACACTTATTTTGGAGGGATAAATTTAAAAATAAACGTACAATTTGATAGAATGCATCTATGTTTACCCAAAAAATATTGGAAAAATATCGTGCAATTTTTATTTTATGGCCAAAATCTGAGTGGGACTGACTTGCGATTACATTTAACGTCAATGAGAAAAATAACCGCAAGTCAGTCACAATTCCATGACGATGCTCCATTAGTATTGAACAGTAGAAAGATACAATGGTCCCATAAAACGTTATTGAATATTTCTGGATTTGTTCCGCTGGTTCCAGAGCAATGGTCGGAACATATTCCGGAAAGTATGGGTCTTCATCAGACCAGAGCTTTTCATAAACGTGCCAAACCCACCATGCGATAAATCAATTTACATGAGAATTAAAAAATAAGATCAATAAGAGCCATGCTGAGTGACCAGCACCATGTTGGCCACACCCGGACATGTTCCGGGTATCTCCGGGGAAGTGGTAAATCCTTTTTAAATCAAAATCCATCAAGCGATACATCAAATCACATGAGAATTCAAAGCCATATACATTGGCGGTCAAACTGAGTATCGTAAGAACTATATTGGCCACATCCGGACATGTTCCAGATACTCAAGGGGAAGTGGACAAAATCGGTCTTGGGACAAATCTCATGATGCTGTCTAACATTTCTAACATATTTTTTTCTAATGGGACTGACTTGCGGTTACTTTACGCTGTGGGACAATTTGACTAGGTATTGTTTTTCATTTTTCTTGAACAAACCACCTTTTTTCAATAGCACATCTAAAAAAACATAGAAAGATGAACTGAATAATGATGCTAACTCAAAATTGATAAAAATACAGATGGGACTGACTTGCGGTTACCGGCAGAAAAGGTCCCGAAGAAACGTGCTCAACTTTTAGGCTCAGCTCTGGTACTATCTTCGGTCCCAAGGTAATCGATGCATCCCTTGAAACATAGGAAAATCCACGAACCCCTCATTTTATCTGTCAAACTTTCATAGCGAATCAAAACAAACATATAGCGAATTTGTTTATTATTGGGGTTGGAACCAGTTCCAACTCAGTTGGAGAGGATTCTTTTTAGCCGGCGCCGGTGGTGTAGTGGTAAGCGTTACTGCTTTCTCACCCCAATAGGTCTGGGTTCAACCCCAGCCGAGGTCGGTGGGATTTTTCTATGGCATAAAAATCTCTGGTCACGTCTTCTTTCAGAAGGGAAGTAAAGCCGTTGGTCCCGGCCCATGTGTGTTGTTGAAATGGTGTTATATCCTACGCAGGTTTGGAAGCTTGTCGTCAATGGATGGCTATCCATATCCGTCGGTGATTGGCACTATAGTCGCTATATTCATAGTCTGGTGGATAGAATCTCGGGAATCAATTGAGCTGTCAAATAGTGGAAACAATCGAGCAAATCACGACCAACAACAGAAAAGAGCACATCAGCTATTGCGAACAAAATTTCGGAAACCGTTTTCTCGTGATTCAAGGCTCGCCTATGCAAACTAACACTATCTTTGGGCAGGGCTGGTAGTGGATATGTAATATAATAGTAGTGACTTTAGTGACTAAAATAACGAAAATAGTGACCAAATAGTGACTTTAAAGCAATAAAAAGTGACTAATAGTGACATTTATTGATCGGAAAAAAATGGTTACAATATTTAGTTGATTGCAACCCACTACGAGAAATTTTATAAACTTACAATCACAACCCATGCTGAGCATTTTTCATGCTCCTTTAAAGTAAAACAAATAATGGTTAACCGATCCCATCATTTGCTCGAAAAATTATTTTTTTTTGTTAGGAAAATCGGGAAAAAGACGCGAATTCGAACTCACCGGGAAAAAATCGAGAAAAGCCCGTGAATTTCGATGACAAACCGGGAAAAATAAGATTCTGGACTTTTAAACAATTGCAAGACCCTGGACTGGAAAATGTTTCCAGGAAACAATCGCTTTAAAGAACTAAATACTATGAAAATTTTGAAAAGATTTTAGGATGATAACAACAATGTTTTTTTAGAGAAAAATACCAATAGATCTTTTTTTTAAGAACTCTAAGAGAGATTTCACTAGAACTCCCAGTCATTTGTGGGACTTCAGACGTTCAGAGTAGGATCTTCAGGTAGTTCTGTTGGAAAATTCCAGATTGATTTCAAATGATAATTCAAAATAAGTTTTTAGAAGAATTGTGATGACAATTCGAAGGAAATTTTAAAAAAATTTAAGATAATATCAAGCGAACTCTAAAGAGAGTTCTCACGATAAATACCAAGGGAATCGAATTTTGAAGGAACAATTCCAAAGAGATTCTGAGATGATTTTAATGAGAACTCCAAGTTTATTTCCAAGAGCATCTCGAGAAGAATTTCAAAGGTATTCTGAGAAGAATTTCAAATGTATTCTGAGGAGAATTTCAAGCGAATTTTCAGAAGAATTTAGTGGAGAGCTCCAATATAATTATAAGCAGAATTGTATGACGATTCTGAGGAGAATTGCATAAAAATTATAAGGAATATTCAGACTAATTCTAAATAGAATGCAAGGAGTATGTAAGGAAGTTTCAGTAAGTTTTTTCGAAACGAATCTTATGATGAATTCTTCGATCTCAAAACAACCGGCCAAATCACCAAAATTAGGGGAAAACCCCGGGAAATTACAAATTGGAATTTGCTGTTAACCATGATTATGGCTAATGCAAATTTGATTTTTGTTTTATGCCACCCCAAATTTGAAAATTTAGCTCTTTTTATAATTGTTTTCCACTCTACGGTTTACCCTTAAAGTACACAAAATATTGTTTTTACTATTAATTTATGAATTTATTATTAAATGAGTTGCTTATACGTAAATTTATTCCTTTTTTGTCCAAGAAGAAATCTTCCGGAACGAGGAAAATTTTCCAAGATGGAAAGATCGTGAATGCAATCTTACTCATATTGGAGTCAAGTTCACTTAAATTTGCAAAAACGTATGTCACAAGAATGAGTCATTTTTTACTCAAAGATGCGTAAATGTCACTCATATATGAATAAATGTCATTCAAATATGTGTGATATTTGCTCATATTTGAATAAAAATTTACTCAAATGCGACTTTTAGTGACCGGGACTCACATATGAGCCAGATTTATTTGCCGTGAAGAATATTTTCCATGCGTCCCGGACTTAACCTCTGGGAATCGAAAAAAAAATTATAGATTCCGGGATACATTTTAGAGATTTTGGACCAATTTTTCAATGATGGGACTTAAGCATTCGAAATCTTTAAGACAAACAAGTTAAGAAACGACCCGGAATAATTATCATATTTTGAATACATGGAATGTAAGTTCACTGTCCTTAAAGAATTTAAATACCTTTGAAACGTAAATAACATTTTATGATCTTGGACATAGATTTTATTTCTAAAATGAAATGTTTGGACGAATATTAAAGATACCGAGCTTCAAAGATTTTTCAAAATTATAGTCTTTGAAAAAATGTCTAGCGCAATTAAAATTTCCTAGATCATTATTCGAAATAACTAAGACTTGGAAAACTTCCAAGATCACGAAGTAAAGAAGCCAGGATGTTGGAATCAGATTTTTTATCGAAACCCCTGAAATTTGCGATAAAATGTTGACTATTTCGAGATCACAAGGCAAAGGAAAAACTTAGAAATTGTATAATCTGGTCTGGAAAAAAATCGAAGATAACGGACCTGAATGTCAAGATCACGAAGATGAAAAAAATAAAAATATTAGTGATTCCATCAGCACCAATTGAACAGTTCGCAACTCTTTTTTGTCGAACTTTACACGCTGATTTTTAATAAATCTTTTAACACAAATTTGTTGCTAAATCAATCTGTTACTTACTTGATGTAATTTTTTAAAGGCATATTATTTACTCTTGACATTATTAGTCGTAAAATAGTGACTTTAGTGACTAAATTTTAAGAAATAGTGACTTTAGTGACTTTTAGGTAAAAAAGTGACTTTTTAGTGACTAACTTTAAAATAGTGACCAAGTCACTAAAAAGTGACCTGCTACCAGCCCTGTTGGGTTAGGGAAAGTTTCCCCTATCCGATACTTACCTTACCAATCAGGCTAAGGCCTTGTTGTCCTCTGCTGTCCGAAGAAGTCGTCTCCACTCTACTCGATCCATGCCATGTTCCGAGTTTCCAATCGTAGTCCTTATTTCGTCGCGTAGGTCTGTGCCGATTGTTCCGATCCGTATTTCTTTCTTCGGTATTTGCAACTTTGTTTTTTTTTCCAGGGCGGCTTGTTGGGCCTGCCCCAACCCCCTGTCTCGCCGGGGGACCATCGTGCACAGCTCTGTTTAGAGTCCCACGCTGGCACTAGGACGGTGATCAGCCGCTCCTAACATGGAGAACAGACGCCGTTTTGAGCCGCACCTCCATGGTGAGCAGACGCTCAGGTTTGGTGAATTATTTCCTCTATCACCGTACTATGGTTACCGCGCCAGTGTTCGCGTCG